TCCACAGAAGTTTTTTATTTCCTCTTAGCCTGTTTTGTTTGGTTTTTTGTTGTTCAGTCACTAAGTCACGTCCGACTCTTTGCAACCCTGTGGACTGAGCATGCCAGGCTTCCCTGTCTTTCATGATCTTCTGGAGTTTGCTCAAACTCATGTCCAGTGAGTCAGTGATGCCATCCAGCCATCTCATCCTCTGTTGCCCCCTTCTCCTCCTGCCCGCAATCTTTCCCAGTATCAGAGTCTTTTCCAGTGAGTCGGCTCTTCCCATCAGGTGGCCAAAGTATTGGAGCTTCAGCTTCAGCACCAGTCCTTCCAATGAAATTCACAGTTGATTTCCTTTAGGATGGACTGGTTTGATCTCCTTGCAGTCCAGGAGACTCTCAAGAGTCTTCTCCAGCACCACAGTTCAAAAGCATCAGTTTTTTGGTGCTCAGCTTTCTTTATGGTCCGACTCTCACATCCGTACACGACTACTGCAAAAGCCATAGCTTTGACTATATGGACCTTTGTTGGCAAAGTAATGTTTCTGCCTTTTAATACGCTGTCTAGGTTTGTCATAGCTTTTCTTCCGAGGTGCATCTTTTAATTCTGTGGCTTCAGTCACCATCAGCAGTGATTTTGGAGCCCAAGAAAAAAATCTGCCACTATTTTGTTTGTTTTAAGTTTAAAATATAGTCTTCTTTTTTGTCTGTGAATTGATGGAATACCTTTCAGAACTATGCTTTTCTGGATGAGCTAAAAAGAGAGAGAGAGGCAGCACAGTGAAATGATGAAGAGCTTGGTTGGGCTCTGTCTAGAAGAGATCTGAATTTGAATCTTGACTTGCTTTCTTATTGTCTTTCTGACATGTGGAAGATAACTTCTCTGTGTCTAGTTTACTCATCTGTAAAATGATCACAGTAATAACGACCACCTTGTAGTGACATTGTTAGTGCATGACATAATATATGAAAAACACCATTGGAAAGGTAGGCTATGTAATATCAGTGAGGTGTACTTTAAGGCAAGAACCACTACTTGAGATGAGATGGGGCATTCTTAATAATAAAATATTAAACCCACTAGGAACATAAAGCAATATGTTTGTATATATGTCAGAATCTATAAACACTCAGTAATATAATCTCAGAATGGACAGAACTCTAAGGAGAAAGAGCAAGTTTTTAACATGCTTCTCTCAAGTGGATAAAACAAGCAAATCGAAATCAGTAAAAGTAGTGAAGGTTTGAACAACTAAATTAACAAGTTTAGCCTATATGGCAGAAATAGAGTACTGAAGCTTGAACCTTTGGAATATAAATTCCTCTTAAGAGCACCGAACTTGCTCTCAGAACAGTCAACTGGGCACTACAGCAGGTTTCAAGAAAGTATTGAAATAATTTAGAGCACAGTATCTGAACACAAGGCCATTAAACTATGAATCAGTAGTTAAAGATAACTAGAATATTCTAATATGTGTATAACTTAGTGCACTTCTCACTTGCTTATGGTCACTTTGGTTATTTTTTTATTAATAGGAGCATCAAAGTTACTACTGAATTCCCTTGATTTCTTGTTGTTCGGTTGCTAAGTCATTTTCAACTCCCTGCAACCCCGTAAACTGCAGCACACCAGGCTTCCCTGTCCTTCACTATTTCCCAAAGTTTGCTTAAACTTAGGTCTATTGAGATGGTGATGCTATCCAATCATCTCATCCTCTGTCACCCTCTTCTTCTCCTGCCTTCAACCTTTCCTAGCATCAGGAAAGGTTCCAATGAGTCATCTCTTCACATCAGGTGGCCAAAGTTATTTGAGCTTCAACATCAGTCTTTCCAGTGAATATTCAGGGTTGATTTCGTTTAGGATTGACTGGTTTGATCTCCTTGATTTCTTACAAATATGAATTTTTCTCCCTCTTTTCCTTTCTGTAGAGATGAATGGGTTCATTTTAGGTAGGACCTTGATATAATTATTGAGATTATTCTGGGTAGAATGAGGCCTGATCTCTAAAGAAAGGAAGAAAGAGAGGATTTTTATTTTCAGTGACTGTGTGTTTCTATATACGATCATTTATAACTCAGGTTTAAAATTAGCAGGATGAAAGGTCATCACAATAATCATATCAAGATTGACAGGATATTTTCACTGGGGATTGGGCTCCCGCTTTATATCCTTTTCATTGTATAGTTTTTAATTATTCTCAACAGCATTGTGAGATTCTGAGCCTCAGGAATTATGATGATGGTTTTAAGGATGTGACGGGCTTCCCTGGTTGCTCAGATGGTAAAGTGTCAGTCTGCAATGCTGGAGACCCGGGTTTGATCCCTGGGTAGGGAAGATCCCCTGGAGAAGGAAATGGCAACCCACTCCAGTACTCTTGCCTGGAAAATCCCATGGACAGAGAAGCCTGGTAGGCTACAGTCCATGGGGTCACAAAGAGTCAGACACGACTGAGCAACTTTACTTACTTACTTAAGGATGTGACTAAAACCATCCTATCTCTGTATAGAATGGAGGCAGACAAATGACTGAGCTTGGAGCCTCATTGCCTGTTTTTTCAGGGAGCAGAGGCCAATAGCAGGCAGGCATAAGACCCCTGAGACTCAGAACGTTTCTCCATGGTCCTCCTACTGCTTTTGAGCCACTCAGGAATGCACTCCACAGCTCCTAGGGACTTTTCCTCTTCTCCATTCTTCCTCTGCTCCTTGGAAAAAAATCTATAAAATTCCTTGATTATAGCATCTAGTATTGACAAAATTCCTTATTGCTAGTGTCAATGTCCAGGCCTTTTTTTGGTGAAGTGATGGAGGCTTGTAAAACAACTAAGGCCTTTGGAATTTACTGTTCATAATCTAAAAGCAGGAATGGAGGTGTAGTGGAAAGGTCAGGCCGGTTCCCATTTTGCATCAGGTAGCTTTATGACACAAAGTCCTGAGAGTTATTAGATGATGATAGCCTGCAGTATCCATTAAGACGGTCTTTTTTAGTTTTGTAAAACACAAAGTCCAGTTAGAGTAGCTATCTTATTAAAGAGGCCCCCAGCAAAAGGGGCGGTGAGACACGTTGCTGCCCTTATAGTGTGCAGTCGTTCTGCGTTTCCAGTAATCGATGTCCTTTGCTCAGCAGTGACGCATTATTGAACTTTTAAGGATTCCTTTTAGATATCATATCAGCACTGGAGAGGGATTAAAGCAATGAGAGTCTGTCGTGTTTTAATCATTCATCCCTAGCTTTGATCAAAGCTTCCCCACTTTTAACAACTTTGACTTTAGCCCCTTCTGGTTTTTCCATATGTCACTAAGCCAGATCATTACAAGCATTCATTTGGCCTACATTCCTTTAAAAGTTCTGTCAGTTGAAGTCAACAATATCCACTGAAAAGTAGCTTTCAGTGTCTACTGATATGACTGGGTAAAAAGAAAAATAGAGTTCCTGTCCGTCAAGGAAAGTTGTAAGGCCAACCCTGATAGATATAAAAAGCACATAAACTCCTTTGATGGTGAATTTTATGGCATGTGAATTATGTGTCAGTTTTTAAAAGGGCATAGGCTTTGAAACCAAAAAAACACATAAATAACATTCTCGAGGTAAATATAAATTATGGAATAGTTATAGGAAATTAATAATGAGAGAATTTAGTTAGGATTATTAAGGGGCAATTTCTTTCTTTCTCGAAATTCACTGAAGAGAGTGAATTATGAGACCCATTGGCAGGGAGAACAGAGAGGCTTTGGAAAAAGTACAATCTGAGCTTTAAACATAACTGGCAGAAATGTGGTAGATGATTACTTTGTGAAATGAGCCAGTGAGTTTGAGAAGAGTGGGGAATGAGTGGTACTGACGGATGCAGATTAAAAAGGCAAAGACAGATAAAAATCTGCAACATGTGTTTTTCTTCTGGGTTGTGCTCTTTTGTGAATATGTGGCTGCCCTTCTGCTCGCTCTGTTTTACTGATGGCCCTCAGAGTAGGTCATTGTCCACGCAAGGCTTGACTGTCAATCCACTCCTGCTCTCAGAGGCCTAGGTGAGGCCTTGGTGTGGCTCTGTGCTTCAGAGAAGATTTGTTCTTGTTCCTTAGAAAACCCCATCAGCATATTGATGATGGGAGGTGGCCCATCAGCACAGACCCCTGGAGAAGTCTTAGCGGCAGAGTTTTTAGAGAAGCTTTGGTCTGAGAGCCCCTTGTAATTGAGCTGAAAGTGCCAGACCTAAAGCTTAATCTTGTTTTATTTTCCCCTGAAACACCTGTTTGAAGAGAGGCCAATTTTAAGTAATCAAATGTTTTCAGTTCATTAGGGGTGGTGTCCAGTCATTTTAAAAAATAAACAACTGATATTTTATTCTGTTACAATGTCGCACATGCTCAGTCCTATCTTGACTGTTTATCACCCTATGGACTTAGCTCACCAGGCTTCTCTGTCCATGGGATTTCCCAGGCAAGAAGACTGGAGTAGGTTGCCATTTCCTTCTCCAAGGGATCTTCCCGACCCAAGCATTGAACTTGCATCTCTTGCATCTTCTGCATTGAAAGTGAAAATGAAAGTCCTCAGTCATGTCTGCCTCTTTGCAACCCTATGGACCACACAGTCCATGGAATTCTCCAGGCCAGAATACTGGAGTGGGTAGCCTTTCCCTACTCCAAGGAATCTTCCCAACCCAGGGATCGAGCCCAGGTCTCCCTCAACACTTGTGGATTCTTTACCAGCTGAGCCACAAGGGAAGCCCAAGAATACTGGCGTGGGTAGCCTGTCCCTTCTCCAGAGGATTTTCCCGAGCCAGGCTCTCCTGCATTGAGGCAGATTCTTCACCAACTGGGCTATGAGGGAAGCCCACCAGCTGAGCCACCAGTGAAACAAATCATACCTTCAATTTCTGGAAGAAGTAGAAGTCTCTAGACCCAGTGACATATTTAAGCACCGCATCTGTTACAGATTGTAAGTTTAGCATTGTGAAGAGCCTGATTTATGCGTAATTTTCTTCTGTTGTTTTGTTTGTTTTTGTTTTTAAATTTTCAATTACCAAGGGACCTCAAACCAGTTACGCAGCTCTACGTCAGTGTGGACGCTAGCACCAAAGACAGCCTGAAGAAAATTGACCGCCCGCTCTTCAAGGATTTCTGGCAAAGATTCCTCGATAGTTTAAAAGCCTTGGCTGCAAAGGTAAGAGTTATGACATCTTTAAAAAAAAAAAATGGAGAGGGTTTTCTTTTCTTTCTAAAAAAGACTAAAATCTACAACTTTTTTTTAGACTTCTACTTTTATTATTCAGTAAATATTTATTTATCGACTTCCTCTTAAGTTTCTAGCACTGTGCCTTATATATGTGTATTTCACGTATTTAGAGAGAGGGATGCAAAACCCCAAAGCTAATTAAACACAGTTAAGCCGCAGTACGTAGCAACCCTGGAATATGTTTAAATATGAAATTAGTTTTCCTGAATTTCTAGAACAAAATTATCTACCCAGTAAGGAACTCAGCCCCAAAGCGTCCAAATCTGATGTCTTTTCCTGCAAACCTTTGCTCCTTCTTAAATCTCCGTATTCTTTTAGACCTAAAGTACTGGTTCTTCTCCATTGGCCCACTGTCAGTATTGGATATTTTCTGTTAGTTCTACCTTTAAAAAAAAATTAATTAAAAAAAAATTTGGGTATGCTGGGTCTTCGTGTGTGCATGGACTCTCTTAATTGCCGTGTGTGGGCTCAGTTGCCCCGCGGCATATGGTATCTTAGTTCCCCTACATGGGATCAAACCTGTGTCCTCTTCATTGGAATGTGGATTCTTAACCACTGGGCCACCAGGGAAGTCCCTCGCTCTGCCTCTTATTCTTTTGTAGCCGTTTTCCCCTTTCTTGTTCTCTTTGCTTCTGCCCTGCGGTCCCTCATGCTCTACCCAGATCTGATATTGACGACCACTGTAGGAGCTTAAAAAATGGAGTTTCCTATTCCTAGTGGGATTCGAGAATCTGCATTTTAAACATCTCGGGGGACTTTTGATGTGTAGCCAAAGATGGGAGTCAGTGTCCCAGAAAACCTGCCCTGCCCTCCTTTGCTCTTCCTGCCCCATGGCTGTCTGACTGCAGTAGACATTTCCAGGCTCATCGTTCACCATATTCCCCAGGAATGCTACACATTTCTACTCATCTTGCCATTTCCGCAGGTGTGCCCAGCACTTTTCTTGAGAGCCCAGACTGTCCTTTCTTTCCATTTCTTTGACCTGCAGAAATTCTATGCAACCTTCAGGTCTCAGCTTCCTTAGTGCCTCTGCTGTGAAGCCTTCTCCAGTTGCAGATAGCTGCCCCGTCTCCCTTCCTGAGTTTCATATCTGTAAATACACTTCATTTCCTCTGTTTTATCCTAGCTTCCCTCCCCCGAACTGGATTCCTTACTCATATCTGAATTTTATCTAACATAGCACACTTGATGGTATTTGTGTGCTATGCTTAGTCATTCAGTCGTGTCCGATTCTTTGTGACCCCATGCACTATAGCCTGCCAGGTTCCTCTGTCTGTGAGGATTCCCCAGGTGGGAATACTGGAGTGGGTTGCCATGCCCTCCTCCAGGGGATCTTCCCCACCCAGGGACCAAACCCAGGTCACCTGCATTGCAGGCGGATTCTTTACCATCTGAGCCACCAGGGCATTTGACAAATGTTTGTTAAAAGAATGAACGAGACTCACCAGAGCTCTGTAGTGGTGAGAGGTACTGTATATATTTTCTTTATTTTTCAGCTGATCACATTCCATACTCGCTCCTATCCCCCCCCCACCCAATTTTATGCTTGAGAAATTAAATCAGTGCCTTTTTTGGTGATTAACACTGACATTATGTAAGACATGAAAAATAGGCATTAGTTTCTGATCCATCTTGGATTATTTATAAAACTAGCAAGTTAACATCTGGCTTGGTTGCTAAGTTCTCTTTGGGTGTGGACTTTAAATTCAGGTGTATCCTCTTCGCTTGTTGCTGAGACAGGAGATACAGCACATAAAAATCAGAATGGGTTTAAATGGAAGTAAACAGCAGGGTTGGCAATATCAAACACATATGATACACATAACTCTGTATAAAATAGATAACTAATAAGAGCCTACTGTATAGTGTAAGGAACTACTCAGTATTCTTTAATGGCCTGAATGCAAAAAGAATCTGAAAAAGAGTGGAATATTTATATGTATAACTAACTGAATTACTTTGCTGTACATCTGAAACTAACACAGCATTGTAAGTCAACTGTACTCTAATAAAAATGAAAAAAATATCAAACACATATGAAATTGTTACACAGGCCTGTCTGAGCCAGAGTGTGGAAGTTGACAAGTAGGCATTAGCAGACTGGCTCTATAGTCTACTTTTTTCCTTTTGGCCAAAAGTTTCCACAAATGCCTTCTTTAATTATTTATTGATGTATCCTGCTTTACAGTGTTGTGCTCATTTCTGCAGTGCAGTGAAGTGACTCAGTTATGTATCTACATACTTAATATTCTTTTCCATTATGATTTATCCTGGGAGATTGGGTATAGTTCCCTGTGCTGTACAGTAGGCCCTGTTGTTTATCTGCTCTAAATGCCATAGTTTGCATCTGCTCACCCCAAACTCCCCATCCATCCCTCTCTACCTTACCTCCGTGGCAACCACATGTCTGTTCTCCATGAGTCTTGTTTCTGTTTTGTAGAAACGTTCATTGGTGTCCTATTTCAGATTCCACATGTCAGTGATATCATAAGGTATTTGTCTCTTTCTGACTTACTTCACTTAGTAAGACAGTTGTATCTACATTGCTGCAAATAGCACTGTTTTGTTCTTTTTAATGACTGAGTGGTATTCCATGGTATATAAGTTCTACATTTTCTGGAAGAACGTGAGGATGTCTTTGGCCCAGTATGGAAATTTAGCAAAAATACGGAAGGCAATTCCTGCTTCAAAGCAACACAAAATGAATTCTTATCTTGAAGTTACAAGCCTTTGAATGTCCAATTCAATTGTAAGTAGTCTGGATTGACTCATTGTTAGCCATGTAGTAACTTTAAGTTCTACAGTATTTTCTAACCCATGAGCTTCTTACATATAACATGATATTTGTGTCCATGTAACTCTAGTTGGAAAAGTTTTCTTGGGCTGTTTAAACTAGCTGCCTGCAGTTTAGGATAATTGCTTTCTAAGCATTTTGTAGTGTTTGTTTCCCATTCTTCCATTGTTTATATTGTCATTTAGGAAAGATCTGTGGCAGGAAGCTGCTGTCAAAATAAAAAGTTTTCTTTAACTCAAGCTATGTTATTTCCTTTTGAATATCTGATATGATTGGCATATTAGATAATTATCAAGAAAGGTCAGCTTTACTGCTGATTAATACTAGAAAATAGGACATTTATGTTGTGGCTATACTTTTTCACTGGGGCCAAATATAGGATTACTATAATCTCATATCATTTGAGTTTTTAAATGAAAACTTTACAATAAAAGTGATACTTCAATTAGAACACCCATAATATTATCTCCTGTTACCTGTTTGAGCATTTAATATACCTGTGCAAGGAAAAGCATTTGAAGAATTTCTTAAACTTTATAAACAGAAATCTGATTTTTCCCAAGTTTTTAGAAGGTAGCATATTTTGTTTTATTACTCTTGGCAAGTATAATGTTTACATTTCAAGATTTTTATCCTTTGTCAAAATGTTCCTTATATCCATGTGGATTGTCCAGGCAAGAAAACTGGAGTGGGTTGCCATGCCCTTCTCCAGGGGATCTTCCCAACCCAGGGATCAAATCCACATCTCTCGCATTGCCGGCGGATTTTTTACGTCTGAGCTACCAGGGAAGCGGTACATTAATGAGATGGCTCTGTATCTAATATTTAAATAAACCAAAGTATCCATGTGGCCTATGACTGGCAGGTTTTAAAAAACAAACATTTAATATTTGTCCTTATCTGATTATAAAAATATTACATGTTGATTATAGAAAGGTGGGGGAAGTAAAGAAAAAAGAAGTTACCCATGATTCCAGGATTTTGAGACAACTACTACTGAGATTGTGAAGTAGTTCTGTTCATCCTTTGGCGGAGGGTGTTTTGTTTTGCATCTGTGATTCAGTTTTGTATGTTGCTCTTTGTTGTTAACACTGAATCATGAGCATTTTTCCATGCTAATAAAAATTCTCTTTGACCTTCAGGTTAAAGCCAGTATAGTTTTTCATCAGTAACAGTGTGAAATAGTAGAAAATATATATATTGGTCACTGTCCCTAGTTCCTGGCACAGAGCTCCTAAAGCCCTTATAGTTTTCTAAGTGATAAGAACACTAGAAGCATCTTTTGTTTCCATAAGGCAATTTTGGGTGGGCTCCTGGATGGATCCTGCTTGAGGACTGGTCAGCAGGCTGACTAAACCGTAATTAGAAGCTTGAAATTATCAGCACTCCCCAACACACACACACACACACGCACGCACACGGAGAAGGGCTAGAAGTGAAGTCAATGATTGTGCCTACAAGAAGAAGCCTCTATAGCACTCCCCAACACACACACACACACGGAGAAGGGCTAGAAGTGAAGTCAATGATTGATTGTGCCTACAAGAAGAAGCCTCTATAGAAATCCCACTCGGGGGTTTGGGAAGCTTCCAGGTTGGTGAACACAACCACATATTGGGAGGGCGATGCGGCCCCATCTCCATGGGGACAGAAGTGCCTGTGCTCAGGACCCTCCCAAGGCCATGCATTATGCGTCTGTTCATCTGTACCATTTAATAAACTTGTGAATGTAGGTCAGTGTTGCCTTGAGCCCTCTGAGCTGCTCTAGCAGGTTAGTCAAACCAGAGGAGGGGGCCCTGGGACCTCTGATTTAGAGCCCTTCAACCAGGAGCACAGGCGACATCCTGGACTTGGGACTGGCCCCTGAAGTAGGTGTAGTGTCGGAAGTGAGTTAATTGGTGGGACACCCAGCTCATGTTGCAGAGAATAGTTTGGTGGGGGAACATCCCTCACACATGTGACCAGAAGTGTCAGAAGTGGTGTGTTGTGTGTGAATGGTAATGTAAAATGGTAAAAAACCCAGGGAAGGGAAACCTGGGTTTTCCCCTCCTCCCTTAGCTTCCTGCTTGTTGGCGGGTATCAGGGTCTCACCAGACTGCGTTCCAGCCTGCTGCTTGGTATCGTGGGGGCCTGG